AGGCAACAAAAGAGTTGGGTGGGTGACAATGAGAGGGGAAAAGGGTTTTTTGGGATCTTGTGAATAGTGAGATTTAGAGAGTAGAACTTTCCATAGTTAGAGGGTTGAAAACGGAAACAATTCATCCTCACAAAACATGAAAGATTTAGATGGAGGCTATAGCACCACCATCAGGAAAATTCTTTGGACAATTTATACAGTCTGTATTAAAATCTTGGATGAAGAAAACCACCTGGTCCCTGATCATCTTTCACTGAAGGTAAGGCCCTTTTTTGTCAAATGGGATAGGTAGAAAAGAAAGACAATGTCATAACACAAAATTAGGGGTTGAGGATAAAAAAACATGCTTACATTTTGTTGAGGTAAAATATATATTTCTATTCAATATTTCCAACTCTAACAGTGTCAACATTTTATCTCGCATATTCTCATTGAGTTCTTTAAATAATTAATATAAAACTCAAATTTTGGACAAAATTTCATAGTGAACTTCTAGACATTTTATGAAAGAGCTCATCTCTTGTAGATTGGGAAATATAAATTCATTTTGTCCAATTTGAGCATTTGAGAAGATGCTGTGGTCTGGTAGAGATACGTGACTGTCGGTGTGTGTGTGTGTGTGTGTGTGTGTGTGTGTGTGTGTGTGTGTGTGTGTGTGTGTGTGTGTGTGTGAGAGTGGTCTTAGTGTTCCAAGAGAGCAAAAACAATATGATGCAGAACATTAAATACGGGGGGAACCAACCATAGATACTGTAAGTAGTGTGTGTTCTAATGATGTATGTACTAGTGACAAATGTGAACAATGACAACTTATAAAACTGTATGCACAAAAGTGACATTTCAACAAACAATACGATTGTGGAAAGACTGAAATTACTGAAAAATCTACTGTGCTCGACCTTCCTTTTTATTGAATTTTTTTTAAAGCACATATAACTTTTATATATTTTCAAAATCTGGATCTTAAGGTGAGCTGAGAATATCTACACACTGGCACCTAGGGAACTGTTTGAGTTTTTGACTCTCAATAGCCATTTTTACAGAATAGCTTTATAATGGATTTTCAGTGCGTCATTGTAAGATGTCCATTTATACAGCTAATTTCTGTTTTCTGTATTTTTCAATTTTTTGATTGGGAATTTAGCCTACTTCTTTTAAATGTAGGCTATGTTGTGTAACAGACAACTATTTGAATATGGCTATGTCTTGTCACTGGCTTTTTTCCCTAACTCTGATAAATCACTTTGTTCTTAATAATAATAATAATAATAATAATAATAATAATAATAATAATTATTATAAAATAAATATATTATTATTAATATTATTATTAAGTAAATAAATTCAGTTCAGAAAAAGCTAGTAAAAGATATTTTGTATAGGTTAATGATCTCCTAATGATTTTCTCGGGTTTTATCTTTGCACATTGCAAATATCATTATGTGTCACACTTGCATATTCCCCGTGTTTTGCACACTCCTGTACGGCTCTTCACTCATTTATTTAAGTGTTCGACCACATTGTACATATTGCCTCTTTTTTCTCTGTTCTCTATTTTTATCTTAATTATGAAAAGTAAAAAATTACAACCAAAAATAACTGTAGGTTAGCAGCTAAATGAACCGAAGTTCACCTTTTTTTTTTTATTTTTTTTACGTTGTATCTCTATCAGCATCATTTTTAAAGAATCAAGCTTTAAACAAATAAATAAAAATACAACCTTAATATCATTAAAATCAGAGCCGTAGAGTAGAAAACGTCTCTATTGCTCTGAAGCAAACCATTCATCATGCCTCAGAATATCACGACCAATCAGCGTTCAGTTTCTCCCGCAGGCACGGTCCAATCAGCACGGCCAACTGTTGTCACGAGGAAAGCTTAGCCAATGGAATGGGGACAGAAACGAACGTTCACGTCAGTGTATATTGGAGGCAGCTAAGCTAGTCATGAGCTATCGTTAATTCTTCGTTTATCTCTGCTACATTTTAATATCTACAATCTACATCCAACAACTGGGGGGTGGGTGATATAAAAGGTGTGTATAAGGACCATCACAGCCACTTCCTTCGCGTTATTTGTTAGTAACTTTAAAAAAAAAAACAGTTTTAACCAGTTGGTAAAAATGTTAGCAGCGTTGCTACAGGCTAGCCCAAACACTAGCCACATAGCTACGTCAGCTAGCTACGTTTGTTTCTAAAACGTCTGCGTGTGGTTGAGGACGGAAGAGATAAATATTCAACAGGCCGAACCAGGGCTTTAGATAGCAAATGCTAAAACCTGCTCATCACTTATTAGTTGACGCTGTAGTAATTAGCCACGCTCGCTTGTGACGTTAGCCTTCGCCCGTATTGACAGCGAGCTAGCAGGCTAACGTCGGTGTTGTTCTACCTTGGCGTTGTACTGGGAACATCTGACCGCTGCTGGGAACTGAAGCAGACAAATGTTACTTCTGTTGTCGACTAAAGTTATTTCCAAAAGTGAACTTAGTGCTTGAATGTTTAAATCGCCAACCTACAGTTTAAAGGTTACAGGGTACTTTAGAGTAACGTATTCCAACAGGGCAACTTAATGTATTTGTACATGTTCTTTAATGTACTGTACAAAATTAAAGTGACTTTTTATTTCATAAAACAGTTGCAGGTTAGTGTAGATTATTAAAAATATAAAAATATCAGCATCAAGTTAGACAACCACAACAAGAAAAGTTAAAGTACTCTTTGCATGAGTGCTTAACTTTATATGAACAATTTATTGTATTGACATGACTAAAAACAAGTGTTACACAATGTATGCACACTTGTGTAACACTTGTTTGTTTTTAAACATCTAACACTTGTTGTATGAAGATATTGCTGCCTTTATGTGAGTGATTCTAACACTTCTGTTACTACTGTCTTCATTTGCATGCTAATGTAAAATTGTACAGATGAAACCTTGTGTGCTATTGAAACTTACACGTGGTGCACAAATTGTAACTTATTTCTTACTTTAAAATGGAAGAACTTGATTTGCATTGCTCGGTAAGTTAAAACATTTTTTGTCACTGTTTCAGCTCGGCATCATGGGTGAACCACAGCAGGTTAGTGCTCTGCCTCCTCCGCCTATGCAGTACATCAAAGAGTACACAGATGAAAACATTCGCAAGGGTCTGGCTCCTAAGCCACCTCCACCCATCAGAGACAGCTACATGATGTTTGGCAACCAGTTCCAGTGTGATGACCTCATCATCCGGCCTTTGGAGAGCCAAGGCATTGAGCGGCTCCATCCTATGCAGTTTGACCACAAACGGGAGCTCAAGAAGCTCAACATGTCCATTCTCGTGAACTTTCTGGACTTGCTGGACATCCTTATCAAGAGCCCTGGCAGTATAAAGCGTGAAGAGAAGCTGGAGGACTTAAAGCTTCTGTTTGTTCATTTGCACCACCTGATAAATGAATATAGGCCACACCAAGCCAGGGAAACATTGAGGGTGATGATGGAGGTGCAGAAGAGACAGAGGCTGGAGACAGCTGAGAGGTTCCAGAAGCATCTGGAGAGGGTGGTGGAGATGATCCAGGGGTGCCTTGCCTCCTTACCTGATGACTTGCCACAGATGGAGGGTCCAGATGGTGCTGGTGATGGTAGCAGGAGTGCGTCAGCAGTAGCTATTGTTGGTTGTTCCTCTGGCCAGGCGCCCAGGCTGAAAACTGAACCAATGGATGTAGAGGAAGCCGGTGCCAGCTGTATGGCAGCAGGCCACCAGGACAAACACGTCCTTACTTCAAAGAGAGACAAAATATGGGACAAAGATGCTGCCATGTGTAGTATTATTGATGACATTGCTTAATATTTCTGTTGACTAGTTGTGTTTCCTAAACTGTATGTTTTTTTGTATGTTGTACTTAGAGTAAGTCTTGTGCTGTGTTCACTGGGCCTGAAATCATTTCTGGTGTTGAATGGTGTTTTATTTAAAAGCTATCCTGTATATTAATTTTCTGTCAAGATATTTGAAGAATGTAAATCAGTTTTTGCAATAAAACCAATAAAGAACCCTTTCAACTGCTGTGGTGGTGCAGTTTTGTCACAATAGCACAACAGTGATCATTAAACCCATCAATGTTTTTAGGGAAACTGCAGCAAAGTCTAATCTGGTGAGAGTGGTCCCAGAAAGGTCAGTATGTAAACTCCAGTCAAATATTTTACAATGATTTGGACCAGTCCAGTTCTTGTGTACAAATGGGGCTTTTTTTTTTTTTTAAAGAGAGTAGAAATAACTTTTGGGGGTTGAATTAAAACAAAAGTTGGTGATAACCTGTCTGAGTGTCGGTTGTGTAACTGCTTATGTTTCTTTATGTGGTGCAGCAGGCCATAATGGTGATAATGTGAATCTAATAAGTGCTGCAGCCTCCAGCCTCATGTGATTGACCCAGGCCAGAAAGGCCTCTGTGAGACAGGTTCCACTTGTATAACAGATGTAGAGATTTTGTTGCATCACCGATGTACTCTGCAGCATTATCCTGCCATGCCTAAAACAACAAGTTTTGTTCATGAACAACAACAGCACCGTTAGCCTCCTTGTGCACTTTGCACCCTCACAGACACTCGTTTGCTCTTTTTAGCACTACAAAACATACCATCACATCTAGCCGACTTAGTTGTTTATGGTATGTAAGTAAAAACGTGAGGATGACCATAACTGGGTCATGATCCTGCCACCCCGCCCCCTGCCTGATATCATTATCCTCTGCTGGGATTCCCTACACTGTGGCAAGGTAATTTCCATTCCCTTCACTTTTAAGTTAAATTATTATTATTTCCTGGGACGAGACGCACAAAACTATCAACTCATTTCCCCTCCCAGAGTTTTAATTACACCGAATAAAAGCAAACAAGTAATTTTGTCGCAGGAATCATGTTATGAAACTCGACATCGTTGGGTTTCACAACAGGGCGTAAAGCCATTCTGTCGTCCAATGGGATCGCACGCTGCTGCGTCACGTGGTCTTTATTTATGTAACGTAATGGTGTTACATAGTAACCCAACTGAGCTTTGTGGCTGTGGAGACATCGCTACAGGGGTTAATATTGGACACGGACTTCTCCAAAGAAAGAATATTAATGTGCAAATATTTCGCTGTGGTTCGTGGTGCCGTGCGTGGAGCGTGGGGCGGCGGGGGGAGCGTCGCATTGAGCTGGAAGCTGAGTTTATTTAATTTGATTTAGTTTTTATTCAACCTGCTTGAAAAGGGAAAACGTCATGTGTCCCAAACCACAGACTAAGTTAGGGCTAAGAATTGATAATGTCAGTGGATCCATTTTTTAATACGAAAAGGACATTTGTGAGGTGAGCCTTTAGGGGTATAGCTGCAGTAGCTTAGCTTGATAGAAACCGGTCGGGTTTGAGCAGATGTGACCAGAGGAGGGGACACATTTACTGTACCGCCAGCTGTCCGTGTCTTATCTAAATGGTCCATGCAATACCACTGCGCAGAAAAAAGCCTCTCCGCCCTTTGACGGGAAAAAAAGCCTAATTTCTTCCAGTGGGACGTTGTTTCTGGTGACATAACCCGTTCACCATGGATCTGCTGGAGTGTCCGCTCTGTCTCTTCCTGATGTGCGAGCCGGTGACCATGTCGTGCGGTCACACGTTCTGCCGGAGATGCGTGGGGGGCTACCTCCCGTCCAAATGCCCGTCGTGCAAAGAGAGGTTAAAACAAAGAGAGGTGAAAAGCATGAAGAACAATGTTTTGCTCATCGGTGTCATTGAAAAGTGCTGCCCCGACGAGACCAGGATGAAGTGCCATTTACTGGAGAAGCTCAAAGCCAACGAGTTCACGGAAGCTTTACGCATCGCCAATGAGGGGCTAGACTTAGGTAAGGGGGAAGTGCGAGACATCGGCACAACTGCAGACGCAGCACAGAAGTTTGTTTGGTGTATGCTTGGGTTCAGTGATGCCTGCAGGTCTGCTTGTATGAAGAGAAAAAAAAAAAAAAAAAAAAAAAAAAAGTTATTTAAGATGACACTTCAGTAAGGAGACGGACTGCTCACAGTTTTTTGGCTGCTGTCCCAGTGATGGTGCCTGATGGTGCGTCCCGTTCTGCTCTTCAGGACAGTCATAATGTGCACAGCAGTGAGACACAGGAGGTGTAATGACAGAAAGGACAGGGAACTTGGTGTCTCAAGCACAGAGCATGGGATACATTATATCCACTGTCTGAGGCTGTTGATGACCTGAATGTACAACTGGGTCAGTAAACAGTCTCCAGATGCTAATGTGTCTGTCCTGAATAGCGACAGTCTTGTTTTTCCTGTGTGTGCATATGGAACCATTTAGGCCAGAACAACAAAAAAAAAAAACACTTAAACTAATGTTGTGTGCAGCATAAGAAAGATGCACTGGGTAAAGTTAATCTGCTTTAGTCTGGTTTGATATTTCCCCTTCTGTATTCCAGTCACACACAGTATAGGAGGCAGTAATAGCTGCTTTTAATAGCAGGCACTGGACACAGCCTGCGACAATTGTCCTGTTTTCAGTGCAGGCTTTATGTACATTTCTGCTGCAAGTCATTGATGGAAAAGTAGGGTATGTTTAAGAGGATGTGGTGTCTTTGATTACTAGAAACACTCATGCAAACAGATCTACTACTTTTATCTGTACAGTAACTGATCCTCTGCACTTGCATTTCTATGCGCAGTTGACCTTATTTTCTACATGCAGCAGTGAGGAAATATAAGGGACAACTTCTGCCCTAGATGAGTTTATCTAGGCAGTGGGCGTCCTTGGGATCGTAGGAGTGTTTGTGCTAAAGTGAATCAGTGTGCCGTTGAATAACCTACATGTTAGCAATCTCTGCCAATCCAATTAAATACTGCTGCTTCCCCTAGCCCTCCTAGCTCTTGTGTAATGAGCTCCTGGCAAATTTTGGTATGTCAGTTTTTCTTTTCGATTGGAGGTTTGAGGTTGTGCCATAACAGCTTAATTTGTCGTTTCATAATGCGGGCACTGTCAGGCACTGCGTTTGTAATTAAGGCTCTTACACTGTTCATAAACGTGACTTGACTGGATCAACAGCTTAGGTAATAGCGACTATTTGAGCCTTGAATTCACACATACGCACAGTTGAATATCAATAGAAAGCACAGTTTGTTTTTCAAATAATCTTTGTTTCAGTTTCAGTTTAGTTGACACATTCAGTTTAGTTCATTCTTATGGTATGTTACCAGTATTATTATGGGAAAGTATTTTGCACATACAATTCACAGTGTTAACTTTGAGAGTTAATACTCTGTATACAAATCTGCTTAACTGAAGAAAGAAAATGTAAATTCTGTTTTGGTTAGGGAATGCACCAATTGCAGTTTTTCTCTCCTTATGCCTAAACTCCCTATTAACTGATATTTTGTACCAAAGCAATACCTGTAACATTGTTTTAGGCTTGTGCAAAATTTAACTACGTAGCTCTAGAAAGCTTCTAAAAACTGCATTTTACAATGGCTGTGATTAAGAAAGAGCATTAAGTGCAGATCTGTCATGTCTTGCCTGATGCGCAATCTGTTTAATAAAGCCAATATCACACCAGAATCAGTTTTAGGACGTCCTTCATGTTCCACAGCAAGCAGAACCAGTTGTTATACAGGAAGTTCCATGCTTGTCATTACATGTTAAATGTTTATATGTAGAAAGGTGTATACATAGAGTCTCTAAGCACTAAGTCACAGATCATTAAAGGTTATGCAATTCTACAAGTTATTTTGTTATTATTGAATTAAATTATATTATGTCCCATTTTTTTTCTTACTCTCTTTCATCCTCAGCCCCAGATGATCAGAGTTTAAAGGTGTACAGAGCTGAAGCTAACTGGGGAATGATGCGTTTCTCTGATGCTCTGATTGACCTCGACCGCCTCTGCTGCCTTCGTCCTAACTGGACTGAGGTGAGAGACGTGTATAATGTTGATAGTGTTGGCAAGAGACATAATCTTGCTTTTAATGTGTCTTTTCCCGCACAGTGTGAACACATCTGTTGAATTCATTCAATTTAAAGCTTCCAGTTCACACCAGTTTACCTCTGTGCAAGTCTCTGCTGAGTTTAACCCAACATGCACTCCAGTGGTTGGTTTTATAACTGACATATAACAGTACATACATAACCAGAAAGAGAAGCTGCTGTTGTTTTTATCTGTCTTTTTTTTATTTTACCTTAGTCTGCAAAGCTTGACCCCCTTAGAGCGATTTTCTCTGCTTTTATTGATGTTATGTCATTCACAAAGTTATGCAAACAGCTACTTATGTCATAATGTAATTTAATGACTGGCCCACTGCAACAGCAGAAATGCTCACTGTATATAATCGTTTAGATGGTTGCATTTTATTTTTAGAGATGCCTTATATCGCTTACAATTACAGTTTCACTACTACTAAGCATGTAGCTGCCAGAGATGCACTATGCAACTGTCAGTGCAAAAGGAGGTAAAAGTGTCACTATATCATAATTCTAATAAACTTATTGATCACGTTGCATAGGTTTTTTTTTTTTTTTTAGATATGTCATTCACTGGCACAGGCAGCAAATGTGCTGATTTCATTTTTCTGTTTGTCCAGGGCTTCTTTCGTAAAGGGAATGTACTGCTGGAAATGGGTCAGCAGACAGAAGCCCTCATCCAGTTCCACCGTTGCCTAAATCTACAAGCTGACTTTGTTCCTGCAAAGAGCCAGATCAAGAAGGTTTGTTCAGCTTAAATAACAAGTTTACTTCAAAGACCTGTAGACTCACAGCTGCAGTGTACACACTTTATTGTAAACAGAGCGGCACACAACACATACATTACACATCTTTGAGGTGATCAGTTAACCTAGTTCCATAAATGAAGAGTTGATTAAAAGAACAACATTATGAATGTCTGATTTTCCATTATAGGTCACATCATGGTTCAAATGACCAGGCATGATCGTCTGCTCAGATTAAAGACTGTTGTTTCTAGCATGTGCGGGTGCAATTTAGAGTTATTATTACTTTTTTTTTAATTATTATTATTTGATTTGCTCTAATATATATATTTTTCAGTTTAGTTTTAGATTGTGTGGGCTTTTAATAATGTGAATTTATTCTTCCTACTTAGAGTGAATTTTATTATTTAATTATTATTGTTACTATTATCTTTACAGTAGTAGTAGTAGTAGTAGTACCAGGAGTGGTGGTAGTAATAGTAGAAGTGCCGCTACCTCTTAACTTCTTAAAAGTAATTCAAACAATCTATCTTTGATTTTAAAAATGTGTTTACATATTTATATGCAAAACTTATCCAATGTATCCATCCACATTTGACTTGATACTTTATTTCCAATTTCAGTGGCTTTTTATCACTATTTTCATTAGATTTAAGTTGACAGCGCTGTTAACACAGCAACACATTTACCGCAAGACCTTTATGTGATTCATTTATATCATGACATGGATTCAAATGGCAGATCCTGGAGGCAGAGGGCGTGGCAGTGCCGGACGAGGTGTCCTGCATCTTGCAAGTAGTGTCCGAATACCTGAAAGAGCCTTGCCCCATTACCAGCCTGAGTGGCTCCCAAGGGCCAACTCACCCTGAGGCCCTCAAACATCCACATGGGGGTGAGGGAGAGGGAATTGGGAGGAGAGAGGCACACCAGGTGAGCTCTACACAGGAGGAGAATGTTTACTGTACTTATGTGCGCTTTGTTTGTGGGAGGTTTTTTTTTAATGTAAATCCCAACTGATAAAACTGTCTTTAGGGCTCCAAGGTGACACATGACTCAGGCACTGAGTGCTGCCTCAGCCTCTGCCAAGCTGTTTCCTTCCTCCCTGCTGCTGAAGAGGATGAGGAGATGATGATGAGGAAAGAAGATGGGCATGGCAGGGGTATACACACACACATCTTCATCATCATTCTCCTCATCATTATTCATATTATCACTGTCACTACAAACAGCTTTAACATAGCACCCACAAGATGGTTTGAAATTGCATAATAATTACTAACTTATTTAGTAGCGCAAGGACAAAGCTTAAAAGTGATTTTTTTTTTGTGTGTGTTTTGTCTCCTTTTTTGTCTCTTTCTCTTTTAGGTGAAAGTAGTCTCCGCAGAGAGAAAATTCTGGGTGTTCTCACTGTGTCAGACTTTGAGTGCCCTCTCTGCATTAGGTCAGTGTGCTGGAGTACTCACTCAAATCAATAATGCATTGCTGCCTCTACCTTGTCTGCTTTAGAGTCATATAACAGGCTGATTCTATTCTCACTCTCTCTGGTTAATGTTTAGCACACATGCAGCATGTACACAAACGTTCAGCTGACATACAGCCACTGTATAAATAGAATGAATATCCTTCCTCAAGTAGGCTGTTTTGACTAAAGCTTATAATAATAATAATAATATCTCCTTTCTGTCCTCTGAAGGTTGTTTTTTGAGCCAGTCACAACCCCCTGTGGTCACACCTTCTGTAAAAACTGCATAGAAAGAAGTCTTGACCATAACCTCCGCTGTCCACTCTGCAAACAGCCACTACAAGAGGTAACCACATACAGACAATTTCATACGTCGGTTTTAAGCCTAAAAGAAACAAAGTTGCTAGATCCGGTTTTTACCACATAAATGTCTCAATTTTAAAGTTGCTTCATTTTTAATGATCTGTTATTGCCACCACATTGTGGTAATAACACAACATTTAGTTCAGGCAGGGTGAGTTGCATCACTCCTCTGCTTTAGCTTTGTGACAGTTTGATTTTCTACTAATCATAATCATTTTTCATGCACCTCTCACCTGCTAACACACTCATATACAGCGAAGTTACAGGACAAGAGAACTTCCTGGTTCCTCATTCCTAAGTTTTGCTTGTGATAAATTTGTTTTATTACCAGCTGTGTGTATGCAATAATACAATACTAAATTAATAAAACCTTTATTTTATATCAGCAAATGCATTCCACTGTTCAAAATAGAGTACAAAGTACACATTTGAATGGTATTTTTTCCCTTTATTTTTATACAGTGACTTGTTGGATTGTAAATTTTTTGGAATATTAATGCTGTTGTGTACAATTTCTTATAACCATCATAATGTTGCTATTATAGCTGATTGTTCTCATGTTTCTATGTTTCTCTTCCCAGTACTTTAAAAACAGGAAGTACAACCCCACAGTTCTGCTTCACGAGATCACGACCCGACTTTTCCCCTCACAGCTGGCTGAGAGGAAACAGGTCCATGATGCTGAGATGGCTGAACTGTCCAAGTAGGCACCTACCTCACAAAATCTACTCTTGGATTTAATTTCAGCAACTCAAATTTCCAATTCTCACAATTCTCTCCCTTATTTCTTTTTATCTTTTTCTTCTTCTTTGTCTCTTCCTTCTTAGTCTCACTAAGGACATCCCTATATTCGTTTGCACAGTGGCCTACCCTGGAGTGCCCTGCCCTCTGCACATTTTTGAGCCTCGGTATCGGCTGATGATGCGTCGCTGCATGGAAACTGGCACCAAGAAATTTGGCATGTGCAGCTATGAGCATGGGAAGGGGTATGCAGTTTACATCTTTTTAATTATCCTAAAGCAACTTGTTTATTTCAAAATATTGGATTTGGTCAATAATGATGTGCTAACTTTAGTGGCATTAAAATATAATCAGTGTTGAAGCAGGTGAGGTTAAGGCCCTGTACATTTACACAGGTGTTTACAGTTATTTTGACCTGACTGGCTGGGCATGGAGAGACCGTGTTTGACATTTTCCTAACTGTGAAGCTCACAGCAGGCTAGGTGGTGCCTGATGGGATGCAAGACGAGTAGGCAGCACAGCGGGCAAAGTTTAAATCATTCATATGTGACCCTGAGTGGGTTGGAAAAAGCATCATGGACACCAATCTGTTGCGAGATCTGCTGTACATTTTCATCCCTTTTCAACTTATTATTGATATAAGTATGCACCCAGTATCTCGTATCTAAAATAATATTAAAATATGGAAATAATGTGCAAAATTATGTTAACATGAAACATTTAGTTTGTGCGGCTCATTAAATACAGTATGCAAGTTTAAAAACCTTTTGTCTACGTCTGCCTCATTTACAACCTTGCAGTGGACCTCCCTTTTAAAAATGTTTCATCAAAACCTGTAAAATTACCTTACACTACATAAATGGCAATGACAAGGCACTGAGCTTAAAGCAAGATCAGATATTTCATGTGAAAAGTGTGTGTAATTAGACACACATTCTATGTACTTGTATTCTTTTAAAATGAGGATATGTTTATGATCCCTGGAACATTTAATACATTTTTGTTTAATTCAAAACTCTCATGGTTTTGCTTCATGTGCCTCAGGTTTGCAGACTACGGCTGTATGTTGGAGATCCTCAGTCTGGAGCTGTTGCCAGATGGACGGTCCTATGTGGACACAGTAGGTGGCAGCAGATTCAGGGTGCTTAAGAGAGGTCAGAGAGATGGCTACCACACTGCTGACATAGAGTACCTGGAGGACCTGAAGGTCAGGGTCGCACAGATCACAGATTGTAGCAAAATAGCAAAAGCAAAATATTACAACTTGATCTAAACTTTTTATGCATCCTCTCTCTCCCAGGTTGATGGTAGTGAGTTGGAGCTTTTGCAGCATCTCCATGACAGTGTATACCAGCAGGCTCAGGACTGGTACCAGCGCCTTGGCAGCCGCATTCGCGAGCAGATCAACAGACAGTACGGCACCATGCCAGATAAAGAGGAAAACATTCAGGTTGGGGCATTAGCAAAAAACATTTCCCGATTCTCACACATTTCTCTTTCTGTGTCCACTGAATCAGTGTTTTGTTTATAGTTTTTATTAATGTCAGATAGCAGCCAGTCATGTTGTCCACCACTGAAATGATGTTTCCCTCCTGACGATGGTGATGTTAAAAACAGGAACCATTTATTTGGTTTATTATTTTTTTTCATTTATTTATGCTTTTTCAAGTGTCTCCCAACTTAAAGGTTAATGCATCCCCAAATTTTCACACTAATTACTCACACTACTTTCAAAGCATGTTTTAGTCCACACATCTTGTATACTAAACTTTGCTACATTATTTTGTTAGACTTTCTTGTGCTTTTTCCATGCACCGTTCATCTTCTATTTTCACGATGGAACAAAAGACACTGTAGAAATCCCTAACATTGCTGAATGCTTGATAAATTGGTAGCAGTACTGTCATGTGAAAACAAGGTTACATGTTTCTATTCTAATCATTTCCTCAAGGCCTCATCCAACGGTCCGTCCTGGTGCTGGTGGCTGCTCTCTGTCCTCCAGCTGGACCCTGCCTATCAAACCACTGTCCTGTCCCTGGCCTCACTCAAAGACCGCTTGGGACATCTCCGCCTCGTCCTTGAGTACTTCTCTCAAAGCTAAACCCCACAGCACAGTGGTATTGTGGCCACAACCAGCTCATAGTCAAATCTTGCGCACACATAAATGGAGTAAAATCAAAGAATGCACTCACATCAAAGACATCAGACGTTGGGGTTGGGTTTCGGACTCTTTACATTGTGAAGGGACTGTCTTTAAAGTCATAGCTCAAGGCCAAATCATCTGATCAATTGCAGAAAGGTAGTGATTCTATTGCTAAACACAGTGCAGTCATGCAGAGTTAGGTTTTAGCATCTTGAGTTTGCATATGTTCTCTTTCTTACCACCATTTTCTTTCCTGGTACGTTCAGAGTAAGGTTTCAAAATACACATTGCACTTGCTGCAACAGGAAGAACAACAGGGTTGACCAAAGAGGATTTTTATTTACGTCCATCAAAAGTGGTAAATTATTCTTTGTGGTTAAACTACATCAGTTAATTTTCCTAATAATGTTGCTGAAAATAGGCACTAGATGTCACTGTTTTTTCTCCAGTTATTACAAACATGACAAGCATGCAACAGAATTAACCAAGCCAGTGCAGTGAACTGTACTGTCATGAGTTGCCTATTCAAATCAGACTCTGCATTAATGTAAGTAGGTTTGAAGTCAGAATAAACAGTAATAGCACACAGTTTTCCTGAGGAATTTTCTTCAGGACTATGCAGATCAGAGGATTAAAGTTCATGTGCCGCAGGTAATCATTTTGAATATTCTGAGTCATTTGGATATAGCTGAAGGGCATTACTTGTAATGCTTAAATTTCAGTCGCATTTATTGGCCTCAGCAGCCAATGGCTACGGCTCATTTTATACTATTAAATAATCTTAAAATATCCCTATTTAGTATTAGTAAATACTGCAATAATACTTTGTAGTGTCACATTAAATGGCAGCAGCTGGAGGGTCCCTTTTTTTTTTTTTTTATGAATGAAAGCTGCTCTCTCTGGATGCTGTTTGTTATCACCTGGCGGGGAAAAGTCTTCTGTGAAATCATGACAATGAGGAGATGCTGTCCGTGAATGGGAAACGGAGGCAGTACCAGCTTTGTATTACAATATGAACTTGTGTAATTTTGTTCATCGTGGAATATGGATGCAGCACTGTATGTATGTGCGTCAGCTGTAAATACCGAGTCATATTTGTCTGTTGCCATCTTCATCAGTTGATTGTTTGTTTTTGTGTGTGGTCAGCTCCCTCGAGGTGCAGTCCCAGGCGCGTTTAACATCTATTGCGCAGGGATAACTGTAAAACAATAGTTAGGGTCTGACTAGGGCTAAGTCCCCCTGTGGTACCTGTGTGTAGGCCTTATCACCTACTTCTGGTCCTGACTTAGTCTCCCTGTCTGTCTAGCCCTTCTACCACCAGTCATGGTGCCTTTGAGTGCCTGGGCCAGCTCACAAGGAGACCTTCAAGTCTCAGAGACTGAACACCACATAAAGGATGGACAGTGTGATTTTTGCCATTGATCTTCATTGATTATAGTGCTACATTCCATGGAATGTTGAAGCTGCAATGTTATGTGTAGTTAATTAACTAACAAATACGGGCTTAACTGGGTGAAACATAATAGATTTGTTTTTCTTTTCTACTTTGATAAATGTGCCATAGATATTTCTATGTTCTGTGTGTTGTGGGAATAGTTTGCTAAATAGGCACTGTGTTTATATTTGTCTGCATCATGGACTCTTTAGTTAGTTTTCAACCCGTATGCCTTTTGTATGGTGGACAGTGGAAAACCATAGTTTTATGGCCAACATATCACTTTAAACAGTGAGAATTAGTCCAGCAAATACCCTTACGGTATAGATACAGTTTGTACGATACAGAACAGTAGCCCTGCAGTGTGATATTGTGGGTATAGCTTAGAATAAAATGGGCAGTCATAAGTCTTGATACGCACAAAAGGACGAACCAATGGAGAGACGGATACTGGGGCAGCATTGGTTACCGAGTAAACAGGCACTGAACTCTGACCTGTCAACTGACACTTTACTTGAGGGCAAGAAACACTGTTTTTACCATTTCTTTAAATGGGTTAGTCAACCTCAGTTCATATACTGAAGTTTTATTAAAGCTATCTGGGATTCAGATTGGAGACTTGAATGTGCCAGTTTTCACAACATGTCTTCAAAGGTAGTAGTGTTGATTTCAGTGAAAGATTACAGCATCATAAAGGTCATTTTCTTGCTACCAGACATGATTAAAGCTCACTCAAAACAAAAAGGGACAGATTCTCGTAGAATCTTTAAATAACCTGATTCTTTGTGGTAAAAACACAGCCTGTGGTCGCCGAGGTGAATTTCACTCCCCTGTCCGACTTCTTATCAGAGAAGACCAATATTTTTGCACAGTCGAATCATTTTGTGTTTTGTTTTCAGATGTTGCAGCTGCAGTATCGCACACGAGTTTCTCTCTTTTTGAAATCATGCATTTTTCTGTCACTTTTATTACTTAAAGATGCCTCCTTTCAAGAATATTGTGATGTATGCTGCATACAGCAATCTCTGATATGGGTTTACTCTATTTAAAACAAAACTTAATCTCTGCACCAATGTGTGATTTACTTCATAATCCAATGCTAAATGTGTTTGAAAAATAAATTATTGCACCTCCACATTTGCCTATAATCTTTTAGTAGGTTCAACTTTGGTGCTGCTAATGCCTTGCAGCAGTCACGAAAAGCTCTTGCCCCTTCATACCCTGGCTGATATCCATTAGCCATACTTGCAGATCAGTACCAGAAAATGTCCTCCAACACAGTTAAAACAATTTGCACTGAATCAACATTGTCTCTGACACAGAACATTGAGCATAATAAGTGACCCGTTCTTGGCAGCAAATCCCTGTGAGAACAAGTCTTACACTTGTGTACTTGGGAAAGGCTGTGAAAAGCAGCATGGTGGTGTGTTCTTGCTTGCAGGAAATGATGGCTGATGTGGTTTGATGGTCAGCGGTCTGTGGGCTGCATAACTAGAGACATGCATTGCTATTGTGTAGACTCTGCTGAAATACCTCAATGTTAATAGCAAGTACATTTAAACCCACTGACACGAAAGCAATTTCTCTCTGAGTAATTTGTATTCATTCCCCCTCCTCTGAGCCAAGAGCAGTAAATTATCTTGATCTGATTATTGTTTATTTGCTTGCCCCTCTGGATGACTTTTTAAATGTTATTATAAATAAAGGTTTACAAAGCAAATTCTGCATTATTCTCATTTAATGTGCCTGTTTTTTGTCTTGAGTGATTTGAATGTTATGCGACCAATTTTTTAGTCATTAAGGTGACATTACAAGCCAAATGAAAGTGGCGGGATCTATTGCAATTCGCAGCATGACAGAAATTGGTAGAGAGGAGGGGTGATTTTAGTGAAACGTGCCTCACATACTGATAGCAAGACACTGGCTTGGAAAGAGTTATAATTACTGGGAGAACTGTGAAGTGCTGCAGCTGCAGCAGAGTGGAACGAGCCTTGGGTTTGCCCTTGTGGTTAGAAATTAAAATAAGAATAGAGAGGACGGGTATTTCCTGTGAATGTCCAATTAGATGACATGTTACATTAGCTGCCAAAACTTTGAATGTACAGCCACAGAGATGGGTTATGATATCAAAGTTACCTTTTTTGTTAATGTTCGTTACGTTCTGTCATTCGCCACATATATGCAATATTATCTTTCTGATGTTTAGTTATTGATATTTAAACAATTAGTATGTTTTATGCAATCCAGACCGAGAAAGCCACAGCAAAGTGTCATCCTCACTACAGCACAATCAAAACATGTGAATAAACAGTTCATACAGGAAAACAATAAACTACAAACACATGCAAAGGACAAACTTTCCACCAGGGGGCAGTCTGTAGCTGTGGATTGAGAGTGGAATGTCACAAATGGAACCATACTTCCTAAACAAGAAGAAATCACATAAGAGGATGTTTATTCCATTTCAGAAAAGCTAAAAATGAGCATGTTAGTGTCACAAATAGGGTCAAAAGTGAGATTTTGGCTGGTAGGGAGAACCAATCATATGAATCAAGGAAATGGTTATTTCCCATGCAGCTGAAAAGAACCTAAATTAGTTAAAGTAAAAGAGGATGTGTGAGTGTAGGTGTGCGTGCGGTGAAACACACTCCTCTATGCACGAGAAGGGAAAAAAGAGCGTAGCAGAAGTGAGGCACGTTTCCTGCCAACGTCCTCTGCATAGGAAGCAGGCAGATGAAAAGAGGTTTCACTGGCTTCAGCGGGGTTCTGTAATGCAGCTCAGCGTCTACATCAAAGCCCATTACATTTGAAGAATGCCACAGCTTTTCTGTACTAAATTGATCCATCGGCTTGCGCTGACTCCCTGCTTGTGTATGACTGAGTAAGGATGACAGGCGTTTTGTAGGAGTTATCGCAAGGGGGGAACCGGCTGTGGTTGTGTGTGTGTGTGTTTGTATGTGTGTGTGTTCTTGTATTTGTGCTACTAGGAGGACCAAGTTTCCTCACAGGGATAGAAAGATGAAGAAAATCCCTTGCAGAGAGGATATGTTGGCTAGTTTAGAGTTTTAGGTTTTGGATTAAAGTTGGAATTTATGTTGGGTAAGGGTCAAGGTGAGGAGTGCAACACAGAGATGTAAGATGCGTGCCTCAGTCCTGAAAAGCACATTAATACAAATTAGTCTGTGCATGTGTGTGAATCTTTAATAATTATCCTTCATAATTATGGTATAACTCACCAGGGCCTTCACTAAAATAGACTATTCTGGTCTCTCTGCAATATAGAACGACAGTACGAGAGCATCAGAGGATGAATGCAGCTCTGTTGTCATAGGAACAAAACCCAGCCTGGCAAAGCTCAATGTCAAGAGCAGGATTATCAATTAGGGAAATTGAGAAACTTTGTCTTTGAAGTGAAAGGCATTTTGTTTACCTTACAACAGCATGAAAGACAACACACAGGGAGCTAATTCCCACAGATATAAGTGTGGTGAATTGAAGCAGAGTGAAGGGGAGAGGATGATAGTGGGAAAGAGCTCAAGTTGCCAAATGTGTGTGTGTGTGTGTGTGTGTGTGTGTGTGTGTGTTTTCTGCAGTGCTCAATGGCCCTCTTCTTTGGTGGATTGGAGTTTTGTCAGGGTGTGTGTGTGTGTGTGTGAGAGAGTATATGTGTTCTCCTATGGGTTTGAAGCTGATAAACCTTGCTTGTTTCTGCCTTTGTATAATCCCCTTGAGTGTCAACACGATGATAAACCCATGAGTACGCTCTTGTGACAGTGCCTCTGAGAGCCAAGGTAAACATATTGGCCACCTGCCTCTGTTAGCACCATGGGACACATCATAAATACTCAGATATAAAGAAACACAGGCATGAAAAAATATATATAAATAGATAGATAACGAGACCCAGCCCAGGGAGGAGCATTGTGTCACAGGATTACACTAGAAAACTTATTCCTTTCTTCTTAGGGAAAAGCTCATCCCTTTCCTTCCAAAGAAGACACTTGATGATTCAAGCCTTAAACTTATGATGTGCGAGGCGAACAAAATCTGTTGACCTTCCATGTTGCATGATTGACAGTTTAACATGTCAAAAAAGATGGATGAGATATGCCTTTGCCCCACAAAAGAATTCTCTGAGGCAACACTGGAGCAGCTTGAGTGGGTTAGAGGGGAAAAAAAGCTTGGGTGTCCTTTACTATTCTGGTGATTTCTTGCAGAAAAAAAATACAAAAAACAAATGAAGCAGAATCGCCTGCTGGGAGATGAAGGACAGGAGAAACAGGAACTGGGAGGGGGGGCACTGCAGGAGACATGATGTCATGCTACTGGCTCACTGATTCGCAGAGTTACCGCCTGCTGAGGCACACACCTGGCTGTGGGGCTGCTTTCGTATGGTCTTCACAGTTGCATAAGGTGGTCTGTGTGCATGGTGAGTTGTGCACATTTTTTATCTGAAGGACGGAGAGAGACAGAGAGCCAAATGTAATAATGTAAGGTCATTCCCAGTGCCAGCTTTAAAAAGTGATGTGTATGTTGTATTGTGCAAACAGTGTGTTTTTAGGTGTGTTTTCATGTGTACCCCAGGCTAGCTGCATGCTCCAAGCTAAATGTGATTCAATTTGTTTGCAGAGATGGCTAAGTTGTTGCAACCAAAAAACAGCGCAACATTTGGTTTCACCCGCAGCAGTGTATGTCTCAGAAATCTTTTTTAGCACAGCCTGACTCATCAGTCTGGAAAAATGTTTCAAAAACCTGTGGACATTGTCTTCTGATTGATTTATCTTTGCTATTTTTATTGATTGATGATTTATCTCTTTACATTGTATCGTCAAACTGCATCTCCCAAGGTCTGCAATCTGCAAGGCACGCCATCATCCCCTTAAATCTCACTGACCCAGTATAGAGAGTGAGTCATTACAATCTCATGCCCTGCAGACAAACATTGTTCAAACCCACATATATATATATATTTTTTTTAAGTTATTTTTTTGACCTTTTTGTTGGTTTTATTTTTATACAGACAGCTGTAGAGAGACAGGAAAGGTGGGTGGAGAGAGAGGGGATGACACGCAGCAAAGGGCCGCAGGTCGGATTCGAATGAACATCCAGCCTTTTCCCTGATGTAACAGTAATGGTTTCTAATGAAAAACCTCTTCCCTACCATAAACAATCTGGCTGGCATCAAATAGCAGAAAGACAAAGTTAGTGACAAGTTTATTAGAGCAGCAGCTAAAGAGCCAAATATTTCCATGAAGAGTTGATGGAGACCAAAACAGAACCAAAAGGAGAGTTATTATTGAACTTACAATTATCAAGTGGCCAGAAACAGCACTTCAAATGAATGCAATTGTTGCTCTGTGTCTGCTGGATGTGTAAAAAGGCAACTTTTTGCAAACATTGTAGCAACTTACAACTTGTTCTGCTGCCCTTAGTGGCCAGAAAACAACAAAAAGAAAAATAAAGACTAGTGATTCAAAGGACTAAACTGTAGTCAAAGGGTTAAATTGAACCAACAGACCACAAGTCACAGTATCTGTACATTTGCTTGCCTTGTTAGTTTAAAAAAGCACTTTAAATTCTTTGATGGAGCCAGTGACAAGAGCTTTTGACTCCTGTGGCATGAGACAGCAGAGAGCAAGTCAGGATCCTCAAAGTTCACCATATTGTAGAGAAGCCAAAAGCCAAATATTTTTGCTTAAATGAAACGATGACAGGAAAAAGCTAGGAAACAAATGGGAGAGATAACTTCTGAATAACGACCATCTAAATAATGACAAGCAGTGCGAAAGATCATATCTACCAGTTCCAAGACAATGGCGAGGATAATGATCATGATAAAGATGATGAAAGAAGGAAATAAGTAGTCGAAGAAAGAGGAGATGATCCAGAAGAAGGAGGGAGAATGGATTCAGGGAGGAAAACAAGATAAGAGGACATTGTAGAGGCCAGTTCAATTTGACAAATATGCACATTTCAGTAAATACAGTGATATCAGTATTTTTCATCTCATCACCTAGTGGTCATAATTTTTCCAGCGGCAAGTCATCATGGCGTTCTCACAGGAGAGCCTGCTTCACTCACCTTAGGTGAGTTTGGGATTTAAGTTTGTTGCAAAGCAAAGGTGTGTCTGGAAGATAAGGCGGCATCTGAATAGAAACAGCAGAAGCCAAAGCTGTGGATGAGATCATATTTACTGCCTTCAGGTCTTATCATTACAGTAAGTCCTGTAAGAAAGGAACAATCTACAGCTACAGGGAGAAAGGAAAAGTCAGATGTGACATGGATGAAAGAAAGAAAGATAGAAAGATAAAAAGAAAGAATGAAATAATGGAAGGTGTTTTTTTCTGAAACAGGAAATATGGGACAGTGACTAACTGCTTTGATTTGGAGCATCTCAGCATCTGAGCACAGGGACTTTCTCAGACTTGATGTTCGGTTGTCATGGAGGCGAAGCGGTTGGCCTTGGTTACCATTACATTGATAATCTGCTCACTGGGCATTTCTTAATTAGATCACTGTTGGACGCAGACATCCTGTGTATTCAGGGATAATATTTAAAGGTGTGTGTGTGTGTGTGTGTGTGTGTGCATGAAAATATATTAATGTCTGTCTCTGCCTCTATCAATCTATCAGTGTGTGTGCCTGTTGTGAGTGTGTGTGTTCAGCCTACTGGTATATCTCCCCTGTGGCCGCTGTACAAACACTTGACATCAGCATCTA